ATTTGGGGGGGTGATCAGTGAAAAAAGAAAAAGGGATTAAGAAGTACAAATGGATAGTCACCAAATAATCCTGGAGATATAAAGTGTAGCATAAGAAAAATAGTCAGCAATGTTTTGATAAATATGTAAGGGGCAGAGGGGTACTAGATTTATTGGGATGATCACTTTGTTAGTTATATAGATCTCTAATCACTATACTGTACAAGTGAAACTAATTATTATATGCCAACTATAATTGAAAAAAACTCATTGAATTTTACACTGTAAATATGAGAAACTAATTGTCTATTATATTTCAAAAAAGCTGTAAATAAAAGATTCCACAAAAAAACTGTTAGAACTAATAAATAAATTCAGAAAAGAGCAAGATACAAAATTAATATTCAGAAATCAGTTGCATTTTTATACACCAATAATGAACTATCAGAAAGAGAAAGTAAAAAAAAAAAATCCATTTACAATTGCATCAAAAAAAAAGTACCTAGGAATAAATTTAACAAAGGAGGTAAAAACCTGTACTTGGAAAACTGTAAGACATTAAAGAAATAAATTGAAGAAGAGACAAATAAATGGAAGACTATGCTCATGGATAGGAAGAACTAACATTGTTAAAATGTTCATACTACCCAAAACAATCTACAGATTCAATGTAATACCTATCAAAATATCAATGGCATTTTTCCCAAAACTCAAACAAATAATCCTAAAATGTACATGGAACCACAAAAGACCCCAAATAGCCAAAGCAATCTTGAGAAAGAACAAAGTTGGAGGTATTACATAAACTACGAGGCCATAGTGATCAAAACAGTGTGATATCGAGATAAAAACAGACACATAGATCAATGGAACAGAATAGACACCCAGAAAATAAACCCATTCCTAAATGGTCAATTAATCTATGACAAAGGAGGCAAGAATATACAATAAGGTAAAGACAGTGTCTTCAGTGAATGGGATTGGGAAAACTGGACAGATACATGCAAGAAAAAATAAAAATAGACCACTTTCTTGCACCATATATAAAAATAAACTGAAAATGAATTAAAGACTTAAACCTAAGACCTGATATCATAAAACCCCTAAAAGAAAACATAGTAAACTCTTTGACATTGTTCTTGGCAAAATATTTTTTGGATATGTCTCTCAAAGCAAGGGAAACAAAAGAAAAAGTAAACAAATGGGACTACATTAAACTAAAAAGTTTTTGCCCAGCAAAGGAAATCATAAGCTAAATGAAAAGACAACCTACAGAACAGGAAAAAGTATTCACCAATGATATATCCAAGAAGGGGTTAATACACAAAACATAAGGAACTGTTATATGACTCAGCAATTTCACTTCTGGGAATTTATCTGAAGAAAACTGAAACACTAATTTGAAAAGATACATGCATGTTCATTTCAGCATTATTTACAATAGCCAAGATATGGAACCAACCTACACATCCATGATAGGTGAATGGATAAAGTAGAAGTGGTACATATATACAATGTTACTCAGTCATAAAAATAAAGAATGAAATCTTACCATTCGCAACAACATGGATGGAGCTAGAGGATATTCTGCTATGTTAAATAAGTCATACAGAGAAAGACAAACACCATATGATTTCACTTGTATGTAAAATCTAATAAAACAAAGTAAGTGAACAAACAAAACAGAAACAAACTCATAGATACAAACTGGTGGCTGCCTGATAGGAGGAGACAGGAAGATGAGTGAAAAAAGGTGAAAGGGATTAAGAAGTACAAATTGCCAGTTATAAAAATAGTCACAGACATGTAAAGTACAGCATAAGGAATATGGTCAAAAATATTTTAATAACTATGTATGGTATTAGAAGGGTACTAGACTTATCAGGGTGATCATTTTGTAAGGTAGATAAATGTCTGATAACTGTGATGTACACCTGAAACTAATATAATATTGTACGTCATCTGTAATTAAAAAATGAATTTAAAAAAAGAAAATCAACTGACTACATATGTGTCAATCTATTTCAGGTTTATTCTGTTCCACTGATCTTCATTTCCATCCTTTTGCCAATACAGTGTCTTGATTATTGCAACTTTATAGTAAGTCTTGAAATCAGGCAGTATATGACTCCTCCACTAAATACTTAATGGTATTTATCTAAGTTCTTTTTCAAAACTGTTTTGGAAATTCTACTTTCTATAATTTTCCACATAAATCTTAGAATCAGTTTGTCAATTATACAAAACACACTACTAAGATTTTGATTGGACTTGGGTTGAATCTATAGATCGACTTGGGTTGAATCTATAGATCAACTTGGGGTGAACTGACATCTTAACAATATTGAGTCTTTCGGTTCACATACAAAATATCTCTTCATTTATTTATGTCTTTGATTTCTCTTATTAGGTTCTGTAGTATTCAGCATACGGATATTGCACACATTTTGTTAGATTTACATCTAAGTATTTCACAGTCTTTGGTGTTATTATAAACACTACTGGTTTTATAATTTAAATTTCCAAGTGTTCATTGCTAGTATAGAAATACAACTGATTTTTATATGTTGATCTTGTATCCTGAGAACTTACTGAAATAACTTACTAGGTATAGTAGTTTTTGTAGATTCTTTGGGATTTTCCATGCAAACAATCATGTCATCTGCAAATAGAGACAATCTTATTTTCTCCTTTCTACTCCATATACTTTCTCTGCCTTTTTTCTTGCTTTACTGCACTGGCCACATCTCCAGTACAATGTGGAATAAAACCAATGAAAATAGATATTCTTGGCTTCTTTCCAATTTTAGGAGAAAAATGTTCTCTTTTACTTTTAAATATGATGCTAGCTGTAGATTTTTTTTATAAATTTACTGTTTCTCAGGAACTAAGAATGTTTCCTTTAGTTCTTAGTTTGCTGAGAACTAAATATTATGAAAAGATATTGCATTTTGTCAAATTCTTTTTCTGTACCTATTAATATTACTATGTTTTTTCTTTTCTAGTCTATTGTTATGATGAACTACATTGATTGTTTTATTCAGAATAGCTTTTCTAATTGAGATAAAATTTACAAACATAAAATTCACCATTTTAAAGTATAAAATTGAGTGTTCTTTAGTATATCTCCGGTGTTTTTTAGTATATTCCCAAAGTTCACTGTTAACAAGCCTTGCATTCCTGGGATAAACCACACTTGATCATGAGTATTATCCTTTCTATAGATTGCTGGATTCAATTTGCTAATACAGTTGACCCTTGAACAACATTTCAATCCCCCATGTAAATGAAATTCATGTATAACTTTTGACTCTCAAAAACTTAACTATTGAAGCCTTACTGACAACATAAACCGTTGATTAACACATATTTTACATGTTATATACATAATATTATATGCGTTCATGACACACTTAACTTTTTCTTAATTTTTTCAATATTTCTAGGCTCTATAGTTTATCTGCAAGTTTTTCCAAATTGTCAGAAATCTCCAAAAATTTTTTCATATATAGTTATTGAAAAAAAGGTGGATCTACACAGTTCAAACTCATATTGTTCAAGAGTCAACCGGATTTTGTTGAGGAATTTTAAATCGTTATTGCATATTGGTGTGTAGTCAACAAAGGGTCTTAAATTGAAGACTGATACAGTTTCCTCTAGAAAGTTCACTCTTCTTCTATGGATTAGAGCAAGGCAGCATGGAATTTTAGGAGAGCAGTAAGGGGGCTACCGGTAGGTCCACAGAAAAGATGATGATGGCCTGAACCAGGCTGATGGCAGTAGAAATAGAGGGAGTCAATAAATTTAAGATGAATCTGTTTCCTACTTTTCTTTCCAGTGTTTTCTCCCATACTCCTCCACCCCCATATACACACACTCTAAACTCATGCTTTTTCATTCCTCTGACTCTTTTCTTTCCTCACTCTTCACTTCTCTAGTTCTACCTTAGCTGTCACTTCCTTCAAGAAGCCTTCCCTAATGCTCTTGTGTAGGTGCCCCTCCCCTTTGCTCTCATAACACTCACATTGTCTCAGTTTATTTATCACCCTTGATTGAAATTTGCATGCATAATATCTGTGTGTGGTGGGGGAGTTTACCAACCAATCTTCCCCATATGATCCTGGAACACACACAAAACAGAGAAGTGGCATCACATCCACACTTGACTTCCTGGAATTCCCCTACACATTCTCCCCCACCCCATCCCTTATATGTTCCAAGCACTGACACCATCAGCAGCCAATATGTGTTTGTAAAACCTTTAAAGATCATATGGAGAATGTGACTATTGACAAAGAATTATGACAAGCTTGTTCAGGTATTAGAGTAAACTGGTCATCCACATATGATGCATTAATTGCAGGCTAAAGAGAACCACAGATGAAAATTAAAAGAATATACACAGAACTACAGACACGATATCATGGGTTCAGTCTTATTTTAGGAATTTGCAAGGATGATTTTGACTAGATTGTTGCCTCACACACATCATAAGATTCAATCACACTGCTTTTGCAGGGATGTTATTTAAAGTATTGAACTGTTAGGACTGCTCAAGAATTGATCAGGGACTTAGCTGAAATAGGTCCCAGAGGTCCCCTGAGGTGCCTGACCTCGTAATTGCTGGGGAAGTTTCAAGAGTAATGAGGAAGGAGCTAGTGTGCATAGGGAGAGGGGATACCTCAGGGAAACAGCTACTTATTAACAGATATAAAATTATTTCAATATTTTAATAACTAATATGGCTATACTGGTTATGTATTGTCAAATACCAGCTCTGTACACATGTAGACTTATAGAGAGCTCTGCATAAATCAAGTGTTATTTATTGTTGTTAGAAAAGTGAGGATACAACATTCTCAAATGCAAAGCTGATCCTATGAGTCTCCAGCTCAAAACCCTCTAAAGGTTCCTTTATAAAGCACTGCTACCCATGGCACCTGGTGATGCCAATCCTGGAATCTCTCAGGATCCAGGATGCCTTTATTTGCACATTCATAATCCACATGATCTGCACTCACCTGGCTGCCCTTGATAAGAGTGTTGGTCTCCCAGGCACCAGCATTCTGTCTGAACATCATCACTAGACCAGTATGCTGATATCGAGGTGCTCCCAGAACCAGGGCTTGCACTTGGCCTCGCAAGATGACTTCGGTAGCATAACCTAAAGATGGTGATCCAAGAGAAACATTTTTCCTCACAGACTCTAACACCTCTAGCAGGCCTATCCCTTGAGAAGGGGCAGTCCCATGTTTGGTAGGTTGGAGTAACTGGACCCCACACTATATTCCCCTTTGCTAACATAATTAAATGAAATTTTGAAATGTCTTCTTTAAAGCTATCCCAAAATTCTATGAAAGATTCAATATCAACACTGGTTGAGTTATGCCACATCTTGACCCCTTCTTAGAGTACTCCTATTCCCTTCACTTACCCAAGTAAGCATCATTCATGTCTGAATCTACCCTGGTTGTGTTGATGAAGGTGATTTTATCCTCTGGCATATGAAGAAAGGCTCCACCAGCCCAGTCAAAGCTCCCCACAGCACCCAGCAAGGGACCATTCTGGGAAAGAGGATAGAACAGAATTGAGAAACTTACAGCTTCAATGTAATCCCAATCAAAATTCTAGTGGCATTTTTCACATAAATAAAGCAAACAATCCTAGAATTTGTATGGAAATACAAAACACCCCAAATAACTAAAGCAATTTTGAGAAAGATGAACAAATTTAGAGGCATTATACTTCTTGACTTCAAATTATATTGCAAAGTTATAGTAATCAAAATAGTATGATATTGGAAAAATAGTATAATACAGGCACATAAACCAATGGAACAGAATAGAGAGCCCAGAAATAAGCTTATAATATGATCAATTAATTTACAACAAAGGAGACAAGAATGTACAATGGGGAAAGGACAGTCCCTTCAACAAATAGTGCTGGGAAAACTGGAAAGCCATATGCAAAAGAATGAAACTGGACTACTATCCTACACCATACATAAAAATCAATCCAAAAGGGATTAAATATTTAAACATAAGACCTGAAATCATAAAACTCCAAGAAGAAAATATAGGCAGTAAGCTCCTTGACATTCATCAGTCTTAGTGATGATTTTTTTAGATTTGACACCAAAAGCAAAGGCAACAAAAGCAAAAATAAACAAGAGAACTACATCAAACTAAAAAACATGTGCACAACAAAAGAAATCATCAACAAATTGACAAGGCAACCTGTGAGTGATGTCAGAAACATAGTGGAGTGAGAGACTTCCCAGATCTCTTCCCTTGAGACAACGATAAGCTGAATATCTAAAACTCAACAACAACAACAACAAAAACATGAAAACTGCACACCAGCATGTCTGAGCATGGAATCTGCACATAAGAGCTACCACAGGTCAGAACCCCAGGCCTGAGGCAGTAGACTGGAGGAAACAAAGAAGTTGCCTCTCACAGCCAAAGCTCCCTGCAGGAGGAAGGGGTGGGTTCCCTGAACAACCCTGCCTGGAAGAGCTGTGAGCTCCATGCAGCCAGCAGCAGTGCCCAAGGATCAGAGTGAAAGCAGAGAAGTGGGGACAGCAAAGAAGCAAGTACAGCAGAGAAATAACAGTTGATTATTACCAGCCGGGTTGCAAAACATGAGGCTGAGCTGTAAGCCTATCCCCCAACCCAGAGGGAACCTGCCCCATATCCTCTGAGACTGATCACCATGGAGCCCCAAAGGAATCTGAGCAAACACTTCTGAAACTGTCGCTAACACTGACAGGGACTGACACTGAGGGTAGCAAGCATGATTAAATATCTATAAGAAAAAAAAGGCACTATTCAGACTTTATACAAAGCAGAGATCCAAGAGGCTTAGACCCCACCTACTGGAAACCAAAAGAAAAACGCCTTCTTTGCAACAGGCTAAAGAGAGATCTTTATATAATAAATCTTTCTGGAAAAGATCTTTATATAATAAATCTTCTTTCTGAAAAACACCTTCTTTACAACAGGCTAAAGAGAGATCTTTATATAATAAATCTTCTTTCTAGAATACACTTCCGTTAATGCCCAGGCAGAGAAATAGTCCATTAAACACCATGAACAACCAAGGTGACAAGGCATCTCAGAAAGAAAGAGAAAAATCTCCAGAAAAGAAGCTTACAAATATAGAAATATGCAACTTAAATGACAGAGAATTCAGGATGGTACTTCTGAAAAAAAAAAATCTGAGATCCAAAACAATTCATATCAACAATTTCAGGAACTGAAAAAACAACTAAATCAGCAGAATGAGTACTTTAGCAAGGAGATTGAAAAGCTAAAAAAGAACCAAATAAAAATTTCAGGAGATGAAGAGCACACTGAAAGTGTCGAAAAATGGAAGAGCAAGCTTGGGAAATAGAGTCGACCAAATGGAGAAAAGGATCAGTGATATAGAAGACAGAAATCTAGAAATAAATCAGAAGAAAGAAGAGAGAAACCGAAGAATGAAAAACAATGAAAGAGAAATACAAGAACTAGCTGATACCATCTGTGGGCACCAGGCCTGGCTGGCCTAAGGTCTGGCTGTGATCCAAGGTCTGGCTGTTATCCAAGGCCGGCTGATCCAAGGTCTAGCTGTGATACAGGCCCAAGGCTAGGAATAGGACCCCAGATTTAAATAATGTGTACACATACTTCAGCTTATTGTATTACGCATGTGTGGCTGAATGCCACTATTGTACTCTGCTATGTGAGGAGCCATGCAGTCCCCTGGAGAGGAGAAGGGGAAAGCAGAAGGGGAGCACAAGAAAAGGGATCAGGAGAAGTATGCACAAGACTGTGTACCCCATGCAATAGACTGCACTCCCCAATAGAACTGCACTTCCCAACGGAAGTGCGCTCCACACAATAAAGTTGGTGCCTGCTGATTCAGCCTCAAATCTGCCTCTTGTGCATTCTTCCAACTGGGCTTCTCACCATGGAAACTTCCCTTCTCAATCAGCAATTCTGCTGACACTGACACTAGGTGTAGCCGCATATCCGTTCGGCCCTGACACCATCAGGAGAGGAAACAATAATAATGGGCATTCTCAAAGGGGAGGAAAAAGAGCAGGGATTAGAAAGCATTTTCGGACAAATAGTTGCCGAGAATTTCCCAAATCTAAGGAACAAGCTGGAGCTTAGAATTCAGGAAGTCAACAGAACACCCAATTATCTCAACCCAGAAAGGCCTTCGCCAAGACATATTGTATTAAAATTATCAAAAATCAATGACAAAGAAAGAATTCTCAGGACAGCCAGGGAAAAGAGACAATAACCTATAAAAGAAAACCCATTCGGTATCATTGGATTTCTCAGCACAAATCTTACAATCCAGAAGGAGTGGAATCAAATATTCAAACTATTAAATGAAAGGACTACAGCCAAGAATAATGTATCCAGCTAAGCTCTCCTTTAGATATGAAGGAGAAATTAAGACCTTTCCAGACATACAAAAATTGAGGGAATTCTCCACTACGAGGCCTGCCCTACAAGAAATACTGAAAGGGGTCAGTTCACCTAAAACAAAATTATCAAAAAAAAATACATAATTTATAAGGCGACTAACAAACAAAGAAAGAATTCTCAGGACAGCCAGGGAAAAGAGACAATAACCTATAAAAGAAAACCCATTCGGTATCATTGGATTTCTCAGCACAAATCTTACAATCCAGAAGGAGTGGAATCAAATATTCAAACTATTAAATGAAAGGACTACAGCCAAGAATAATGTATCCAGCTAAGCTCTCCTTTAGATATGAAGGAGAAATTAAGACCTTTCCAGACATACAAAAATTGAGGGAATTCTCCACTACGAGGCCTGCCCTACAAGAAATACTGAAAGGGGTCAGTTCACCTAAAACACAATTATCAAAAAAAAATACATAATTTATAAGGCGACTAACAAGCTAATAGAAGCAGAGGAGTGCAACCCTTACTAAGAATAGGGCATTATAAGCTTAAACAATAAGAAGAGATTTTCTATAGCAAGATAGTAATGAACATTCAGTACACATAGGGACAAATTGAGACAACAATGACAGAAAAGGGGAGGATTCAAAGATCCAAATTTGCAAAGGGGAATGGAGATAAGGCACACACAGAAGAAAATAGACGACTATATATAGCATAAAACAAGAAGGACCAGAAGGAAAACTCACAAAACCCAACCAAAATAAAAAAAAAAAAAACAGAACACAAGGACAAACAAGCAATGGAAACACTGAGCTACCAGAAAGCAAAAGATAAAATGGCTATAAGACCTCATAGTTCAATAATCACCCTAAATGTTAATAGATTGAACTCACCAGTAAAAAGGCACAGAGTTGCAGATTGGATCAAAAAACAGAACCCAACTATATGTTGCCTCGAGGAGACACATCTCAGCTCAAAAGACAAATATAGACTTAAAGTGAAACGGTGGAAAATACTATTTTGAGCAAATGGCATTCGGAGAAAAGTGCTAGTAGCAATACTAATATCAGAAGAACTAGACTTCAAAATAAAAAAATAAGGAAATATACTGAGGGATACTTCATAATGATAAAGGGAATCATGCACCAAGAAGACATAACACTTATTAATACTTATGTTCCCAATCAGGGAGCCCCAAAACATGTAAAGCAATTACTAACAGAACTAAAAGGAGAAACAGACCAAAACACTATCATAGTAGGAGACCTAAATACCCCATTATCTGATATGGACAGATCATCCAAACAGAAAATCAATAAGGAAATAACATCCTTAAAGAATACTTTAGTCCAACGGGACATAATTGACATTTACAGAGCCTTCCATCCCAAAACAGCTGCTTATACATTCTGCTCTAGTACACTTGGAACAATTGACCACATACTGGAACACAGATATAGCCTCAACAAATATAAGAGGACTGAAAGCATACCAACCATATTCTCAGATCATAATGCTTTGAAACTGGAGATATACTGTAAAAAGAAGTGGGAAGAACCACAAATACATGGAGATTAAATAATACACTACTGAAGAATGACTGGGTCAGAGAAGAAATAAAAAGAGAGGTCAAGAGATACCTAGAAACAAATGATAATGATAGTACAACATATCAACAAAACTTTTGGGACACGGCAAAAGCAGCCATAAGAGGAAAGTTCATATCATTACAGGCCTATCTCCAAAAACAAGAACAGGCCCAAATAAACAACCTAACACTTCATCTTTAAAAAACTAGAAAAGAAAGAACAAATGAAGCCTAAAGTCAGCAGAGGGAAAGAAATAATCAAAATTAGAGCAAGCTTAAATGAAATTGAAAACAAAAAACAACAGAAAAAATTCAACAAAAAGCAGGTTCTTTGAGAAGGTTAATGAAATTGACAAGCCGCTGGCCAGACTCACTAAAGGAAAAAGAGAAAGGACACAAATAAACAAAATCAGGGATGAAAGAGGGGAAATGACGACAGACACTGTAGAAATACAAAAGATCATACAAGAATAGCATGAAGAAGAATATAACACCAAATTTAATAACCTAGAAGAAATGGTCCAGTTCTTAGAAAAATAAATCTTCCTAGACTGATTCAAGGAGACCTGGAAAATCAAAATAGACCAATCAGATCTACGACTATGCTACCCCGAACAAGCCCGAAATCACCTGATCTTGGAAGCTAAGCAGAGTCGAGCTTGGTTAGTATTTGGATGGAAGACTGCCTAAGTAGACCAGGTGCTGTAGGCATAAAAAATAAAAAAAAAATAAAGAATTTTAACTTGACAAGGTCCTTGCAATTTGTGAGGTCACCCAAGGGTTGCGTCACCTAAAAAAAAAAAAAAAAAAAAACAAGCACAGGTGACAACCTGAAGGAGGCCCTAACGGCCAAAGCTAGAACAATTTGAGAAATAAAATAAATAATAATAGTAAATAATAACACTTAATTACAACCGCATCATTATCTATGAATTCATACTCATGTAGAGAAATAATTGAATAAATAAATAATTGAAAGTGAAAGAATAGTTCCCCCTTTCAGAAGAATTCCAACTAATAAATGTAGAAGGAATGAAGGAAATAGAAAAATCACCATTAAAACACCACAGTGATAATTGTCAGGCAAGACCCACACAGATGCTAAAATTAGTGGACAGAAGTTTCGAGGAGAAAGTGC